TTTTTTTTTTTTTTTTTTTTTTCTTGTGTGGGAATTGACTGGTTAACGCAATCCATTTCGTCATTACTGAGTGTTTATTAGCTTTCTTGCCGTCACCTGCTACGCATCCGACTAGACGATGAATGGAAACCGTCGATTGGCTCTTTTGAGTGGCCATGAAAGTGACGTACACGATTTTTCCACGTCGCTAATTGCCGGATACCGGACTGGCCGGTACGTGGTGCGGAGGTTTGAAAAAGGCGTCCACCTGCTGTGGACGGTTGCTGCGTACTGGAACATGATGGAGTGGTGTGCGGGCAGACACGTGAAGTGCCTGGTAATGTGCCTTTCTCTTAAACATGTGTTTAGTAATTTATCCGCCCGAAATATATAAATATATATATATATTCTTATTTTAGTTCTATTAAATGAAGCTTTTTTTAGGGAAAAAAATTGTCAATTGAGTATCAATATTTAACTTAAATTTTTTTTTATAAGTTAATTAAGAAAAGGTTATATGATTTTAAATTTTTTATTTTATCTATTTTTATTAATGTGATGAAATTATCAAGAAAATTAATTGTTATAACAAAAATGGTTTCAAACAAAATCTATTTTTAGTTTAAATACATTAAATAAAAAACCAAACAAGTTAGAAGCTATAAATGGTAGGGAATGATGAGATTAGATTAAATAAATTGTAAAGAATAATACATTTTTTAAATAAGTTGATGTAGATGAAATATAAAATTATTTAAAACTAATTAAAAATAAAGTAAGAAAGGTAGTGAAGTCATTATTTTTAAATTATAAAATTAATATTCGTCTCAAATCAAATTTAAAACAAAAATAAATAAATTATATTTTTATCTTAGGTATAATATTTTAAATTTATATTTTTATAATTTAGTGTAAAAATGATAAGAAATAATTAAAGGATAAAAAAGTAAAAAGGGAGGTGCTAGAAATTAGGAAGAGGTTTTAAAAAGGGGGGCGATGAAGAGGTCTGGGCTCGCGGCGGCTATTAGATAAGGGCTACGTGAAAATGCAAGGCGAACGAATCCCAAAGCGAATGGGCTCAGCCACCTTCGTAGAAGTTCTTATCGCCATATTCATCCCTCCCCTCGGCGTCTTCCTCCGCTACGGCATTGGGGTAATTTTCTCTCCCTCTCTCATTTCAATCCATAGTTAACAAATTCTAGATTCGTTCCAGAATTTGATCCGAATTCAAACATCTGATATCTTGATCGATTTGGTCTATGTTCATTCGGGAATTTTTGGATATTGTTAACAACATTTTAATTAATTAATTTTGTTCTATAAAATTTGCAGGTAGAATTTTGGATTGATTTGGTGCTCACATTTTTGGGATACCTTCCTGGAATTATTTACGCCGTTTATGTTTTGGTGGGGATGTGATGAAAAAAATATTGTTATTTTATTTTATTTTTTTATTGGCTGCATTTGAGATTTTTTTTTTTTTTTTTTTTAATTTCTTTTAATTTTCTGTTATTTTTCTATTCTCGAGCCTGCAAACCCTGCTACTGCCACGGCTTATCTGGATGGAATCCATCTTTTTAGGGGTCTAGCCCATTTGGTAGTTGTGAGATATAGGATTTATTCTTATTTTTTTTTTATTTTAATTTGGAATGTAAAAAGAAAATTGAGATGAAATTAATGTAACTCGGATTTTTAGGTTGCAAATTTATTTATATACCCTTCTGATCCTAACTGTTGTGAATTTAACCTTTCAATTTTGTCGAGGTTACAAAAGTAATTTATGAACTTTAATATCTCTTGATATTTTGCTTCTGTTTTCAGTAATATTTCTGGTGAAATTACCATTTTAGCCTAGTCTCTATTTTTGGGGAAAAAATAAATCGTCTTTTAATCTTAAAATTGTCGATCTAAAAATAGATAAGTCTATATATATATATATATATATATATGTATATGTATATATAATTTTTAAAAAAAATAAAAGAGTTATAAAAGCACCCACTAGTAGCAGGCAAGGGAAAGGAGTTCGATTTATGTCGATTGATGTAGAGACAAACATTAATTGACAGCCACCGCAAAATTCCTTTTCCCTTCTGGCAACAATAAAATGGCCGCCATGTTACGGTGGTTTTAGGGTACGGCTTCCGAGGTCCACCGTGCCTCCACCGGAACCGTCGCCTCCGCCCCCATGTGGGGCAGTTTTAATGCCCCATGTGGGAAAACTTTGAACTTCCAATTCAAATTAAATTTACAATTAGTTTTAAATTTAAAAAATAATATATACGGTATATATATATATATTTAATAATTAAATAAACACTTTGTTAATTTTACGATTAAACTAAAATTAATAAATAATTACAAAATTTAGTCTCACCTTACCAAGTTTATGGTAAATATTGACTAGTTAAACTATATTTACATTAAATAAAATAATGTAAAATAATTAATATTATGGTAATTGGCATTTAATTTTATTAAATAGAATAAAATAATTAAACTTTAAGTTTATAATTAACTTTTTAGACATGAACCTCAGGGAAGTTTTCCCACATGGGGCATATATATATTTATTTATTAATTAATTAATTATAGAAAAGTAGAAATTTAAAATTTCAATATTATTTATAACTCAATCTATTTATAAGTCAAAATATACCAACTTTTTTAACAAATATATAAGAACAATATAAGAGATTAATTAAAAAATAAATTATGTCTACCCACCACATGTGTTTTATTGACCTACCCACATTTATCGTAAATTAAATGAGTATACATAGTCAATCTTTCGTCTTAACCAACCAACTATTTTGTTTTATTCGAAAAATTATAGCTATATCTATAATCAATTATCGATTTTATTTTAAAAAAACTAGGTTAAAAATAAAAATTCATATATTTTTATTACAATAACGATTTAATGTATGGAGTTTGATATATAACAATTTATCCTTATAGTTTTAACTACATGAAGTTTTTTCATTTTAATATGTAACAATGGGAGTTTACTGTATATCGCTAAATTCCTATCATACAAAACATTATTAAGATTTAATGAAATTTAATATTTAAAGTCGAATAAAATTGTTATTTAATAAAAAATAATATTTTTGTCTAAAATTTTGAAAGTAAAACCTATTAAATGATTTTTAAATGATGAAATTACGAACTTTGTCACAAAATTATATATTAATCATATAATTTTGAAGTTAGATTTTGGTTGTTTAATGGCTTTATTGAACTATAAAGAATAATAATTATAGTTTATATAAGTTTTTCAATGAAATTTATAATTTAATACTTTTAAAATAAATAAAAGAACCTTTTCGATGCAAATTAAAAATCTTGAAAATGTAATTGAATGTTAATTAATTAATATTGACGCGTGTGTTCTCCATCGGAAAGGGACTGAAAAGAACATGTGATTGGAGGGTGAAAACGCGCGTGAAACATGAAGCGCGTGTTACGAATAAAAACGCACCCACGTAACAGACTTTTGAAGAGCGAGAAATAGAAATTGAAAGAAACTCGGGAACTGAGCTCACAACCAGCTGAAGAAGAAGAAGAAGAAGAAGAAGACGAAGAAGAAGACGAAGAAGAAGAACCAGTGCTTTTTTTGGCACTTCCTCTTCAATCTTAGGTTCAAGAGGAAAAAATACCAGGTTTCTCTCATTTCAAGCGGAATAGCAGAGGCAGACTTCCATTTTCGAGTAAGATTTTAAGAACACTCTGTTTTGTCCCACATTTCGCTTCGTCAAATGCTGTCGAGCAAGAAGAATGCTGGTTTTTCCTTTATTTTATACTCTCTTGGTTTTCTGTTCTAGTTGCTGAAAGATCTGAGTTCGCTTGGCGTTGCATCCGAGTATTGCTTAATATTGTGTATTTTTGGATGTTATCATCGTGTTTTTCGGATAGGTTTGCTTTTGATGACGCAAAGCTGTTTGAAGATTTGCTTGTTTTTTCCTGGAAGCCTATTATTCCTCGCTGGCAAGTTTGATGTTGTGTTTCTGCTTCTTATCTTTTTGTATGTTGAATGCTTTATATTCTCAGATCTGTGAGTTCAATGCGTTTGAAGCTTCAGAGCTCTTTTTTCGTTTGAATTTTCAGTTTGTTTACCCAACTAGGAGACTCTGAAAGCACTTCTTCACCATTCTCCATTAATGTTTTATTCAATCTACTTTTTAGGATCCACTGTTGAGTACATTGCTTTAGAGTTTGTTTAACTTTATGCGAAATGACATTTACTGAAAGAGAAATACTGCTTTTCTCAAAATCGAATACATATCCTAAAGTGAGTATGTGTTTTTCCATTTCTGAGTGATTCTGGAAATTACATACTCAAAGTACTGATAATCTTCCTCTGAAGAACTGTGCGAAATACACTTCATAAAATACAGTAATTTCATGTCATAATTCTTTTGAATGAATTTCAGGGGTCCATTTGGTCACTGTAGGGCAAAAAGGAGGAGCGAAAGGGAGAAAGTAAAGGGTAAAAAGTCTGAAATATGTTTTGTAGCATAATGATAAATATATGCTTTTCTTTCTTGCAGTTTTTCATTTACTTTATTATTTGAAAAAAGGTTGAAGTAAAATTATGCTATGGTTTGGCTTTTGTTGGTTGTTGTGGGGTTAGATTTTTGGGGTTTCTTTGAAGGGATTGTATTGTGTGTTGTCTTTTTTTGTTAAGTTTGGTACTGATGATTTTTGTACAAACATATATTGTCCTCCATTTTCTGTTTATTTCTCAGTCAAGATTCTCTCTGCTGTTTCAGGTACTGTGGGTCAGACGACTCTAGAACTCAATTATTTTATTACCTGCTTGATTATTTTTCTAAAGGAAACACACAAGCATGCAGACCCCAAAAGCAAAGTAAGATTATCTTTAGTTTTTGAATTGCTTAGCTGCTTGCTTTTGTCAGCTTAATCAAACGGTTTTCTTTTGTTCATCTTTTGGCTCCCCACAAACCAGAGCAGAACTCCCCACTTTCATTCTTGTGCTCTGTTTGTTTCTTACTGTAATCTTGTTATGTATGTTTTTTTTTCAAGATCCAACCTGGTCCAAGAACAAAAATGTAGTAGGGTCAGGTGGATGTCTTGTAAGAAGGGACGAGTTACGTGCAAACAGAAATGCATATATATAAATTGTTCAAGAGGCAATCATCTTAGACTCTCTGCTTGTATGTAGCTACGCCAAATTGTCAATGTACTGGCTGATATTATTATTATTATTATTATTTTTTTTTTGGGTTAGATGGTAATTCTCAGTTTTGATTTTTCAAGTTGGTGATTGCAAAAAGAGGGAGAGGGTAAAGAAGAAGATGAATAAGACTAGTAGAACATAGATACAGTAATTTAGTATATACTAAACGTGTTTGAAAGCATATGATTTTTAGAATTGTTCTTTTCATTGCTGGAAATGCAAATGGGAATATGGAATGTAGTTGATATGGTAGTTTGTATGCATCATCATAGTTTTGAGGAGGGAATTGTTGAACCTTATGAGTGTGAATGATTTTCCTAATCTGTTTGAACCCCATTTTATAGAACCCTTTTTTTGTACCTTTTTTTAAAACTTAACTTGTTCTTAAAATTCAGGTAAAAAGTAACAAAACAATAAAATTTATTGGTAGAAATCAGAAAGTTATCGAAGGAGCTTAAAGAGTTGAACTAATATTATGGCTAGATCTTACAGTTGCTTGAATTGGATTGCAGAGCTAGCTCCTCAGAGGTAACTCAAAGAAAATCTCCCAGAACACCCAGAACCGCTCGTCAACTTAAAACTCCAGCCACAGATCCTGATTCCGTTTCCCCTTCTCCACTTCCTGCTAGTAAGACACCTAAAGAAAGAAGTCCAAGGGTAGTGACTGACCGCAAGTCACCACGATGTCTGGCCGCTGAGGTACTTGTTTTACATTTTACGACTAACTATATAGAGATTCACATCAGTTATGTTAAAAGTTTTGTCTTAAAACTTTTATTTTCAATGTCTGCCCGCAACTCTATATTTTCAATTGAGTGACTATTAAGCCTATGAAATTAAAAAAATATTGAAAAAGTCGAGATCTATTGGATACCAAACGAAAATCTAGTAACTTATTGGATGCAATTGAAAGTATAAGGACATGTTATACATTTTTTTTATAAGTTCATGAATCTTCTTAAAATAGAAAGGGAGAGATTAAATTTTAATTTTGAGTTGGTCAATATTGGTAACATTTTTTTCATTTTAGAGTAAAGGGCCGAGCAAAGTGGTTGAATTGGAATCACGATTTTCTCAACTCCAGGAGGAGCTGAAGAAAACAAATGAGCAATTGAGTGCATCTGAATCACACAAAAAGCAAGCCCAACGGGAAGCAGAAGAAGCAAAGAAACAATTATTAGACATGTCTGCAAAGCTGGAAGAATCCCAACAGCAAGTGCTTGATCTCTCAGCTTCTGAGGAAGATCGTGTTCAAGAATTGCACAAACTTTCTCAAGATCGAGATCGAGCATGGGAATCCGAGCTCGAAGCTGTTCAGAAGCAGCACACAATGGATGCTGCTGCATTGGCCTCCGCCATGAATGAAGTTCAGAGGCTCAAGGTCCAGCTGAACATGGTGTCTGAATCCGATGAAACCCGAAGTAAGATCGCCGAGTCTGCACAAGTTGAGATGGATTATCTAAGAACACAGCTCTCAGAGACTCTCTCCCTTGTTGAAAAACTGAAAAACGAGCTTAGTTACTGCAGAGAATCTGAAGCTCAAGCCCTCAACATAGCAAGGAAAAACCAAAATCAATTCGAAACAGCTAAAGCTGCTGTGGAAAAGCTTCAATCAGATGAAATCAAAGCCGTTGAAGCCTACAACTCTTTGTCATTGGAATTGGAGCAATCAAAAGCTCATATTCAATTATTGGAGGGTCATATCAGCAAGACTAAAAAAGGCTTAGATTCAATCACGGGCAGTAAGAATGAAATCAATGACATTAAAACTGAGCTTGCCGCTATGAGATTGGAAGCAGATAAATCAAAATCTGCATTAAGTGCAGCTGAGACAAGGTTTGAAGAGGAATCTGTTCGTACAGCAATGCAAATTAGAATTGCTCATGAACTTGTGGAACAAGTGAAGGTAGAGTCATGTCAGAAAGAGGAAGAATTGGATGCAGAACTCAAGGAAGCCAGAAAAGACATTGAACAATTGAGAGAAGACCTTAAGGAAAAAGAAACACAATTGTGCAGTGTCGTGGAGGTAGACAAGGACTCTGAACTAGCAATGGAGCTAAAGAAGCTGGAGGCCGACATGGCAGAGTTAAAGACCAAACTTTTGGATAAGGAGACAGAATTGCAAAGTACATCCGAGGAAAACAATGCACTTAAAAACAAGATCCAAAAGATAGAAATGGAAATGAATAGAATCAACGATGAAGCAGTCACTTTGGCAGAAACAACCAAAGCTGCAGAGCAAGAGGCAGATAAAAATGGCCAAAGAGCGGCACGAGCCGCGGAGCAGCTGGATGCTGCACAGGCTGCGAATGCCGAAATGGAGGCTGAGCTAAGGAGGCTAAAGGTGCAAACAGACCAGTGGAGGAAAGCAGCTGAGGCTGCAGCTGCTATACTGTCAACCGGCAACAATGGGAAGCTTGTTGATAGAATAGTTTCATTGGAGAACAATTATCCTTTAGGCTCGCCGTACTCGGAAGATCTTGACGACGAGTCGCCGAAGAAGAAGAATGGAAATGTGTTGAAGAAGATAGGAGTTTTGTGGAGAAAAAACCATAAGTAAAGTACTGAAGATTCTTGTATGAATGTGTGTTAGTTTAGTAGGATGTTTTATGGTCTCCTCTGTTCTGTTTTTTACTTTCCCATTGCCTTTTGGTTTGTTTTATGTTTGAAGACTCTGTTCTGGGCACTCTCTATCTATGTATGCAGAGGCTAGAATTGGGCAATGCCCCACTTTACTTTTCAATATCTTTTTTCTTTGCATCTTTTGCAGTGCACATGGAAAATATGAATATTTAAATTACCAATAATACATTTTTATTAATTTAGCTTAAATTGTAACTTATATAATTTATATTTAAAAATTAAAATTAAATGTAATTCATAATATAATATACATAAAAAAGGAAATAACCAAGATTTTACAGGTTTTTTTCTTTTGATTTAATTATTAAAATGTATAATTATTTTCAAACTCACTTTAAATTTTGATAGCATTTTTTTCATGTATATTTAAGACTAAAATAATGAAATATGAAATATATATTTAAGACTAAAAGGGGCAATTTCGTATAAATACGATCATATAAAGGGTAATTATGTAAAAAGACAGTTCAAACTCGCTATTGTTTGGGCTCAGACAAAATTTCATTGGTGGGGGCCCAAATTGTTTAATGGGCTGAAGTTGCAACTATCGGCCCGAACCATTTGCTCCATATATTATAGTTCATTCGTGCACGCGTTTCTTCTTGAAGCCTAGGGTTTTGGTGCGCAGCTCTTCCATCTTCAACTTCCGAAACACTCGCCGAAGTCGAAGAACCCGTTCTTTCTGCAAACATGGGGTAAGATTGTTCGCTTTGAGAGGTTTTTGAAACAATGCGTTGAAAATAATCTGAGATAACGAAAAAACGATTCCGTGAAGAGATGTTTGGTTTGTTGATTGAGTTTTGTGATGCCTATATGATTTGGATCGGTTTTGAAATGGTTTATTTGCTTCACCATCTCTTACTTTTGCTGCGAAAATTCGCTTTATTATAGAGTTTGGAACTTAGTAGTGATTTTTGTTCCAATGAGTTGGATTTTCTTTTGTGGAGTTTTCAACTACCTTGTATGTTTGTTGTCGAAGGAGTGAATGATTATGAAGACGTTTTCTGCTTTTAGTTTGAACAAACACTTGTTGGAGTTCTTCATCTGATTTGAAATTCAGTTGATTTTTGTAATGTCATCGAATTTGAATGAGCAAGCACGAGTTTAGAATTATGAACTCGCGAGAAATACTTATAGCACTTTGGATAATTCCAGGCGAATATCAGGTTGTGATTTTTGTACCTGGTTTTGATTGATTGGTATTTTTCTGACAATCTTACCCAACAGGAAGACTCGCGGTATGGGAGCGGGACGCAAGCTGAAGTCCCACCGTAGAAGGCAAAGGTGGGCTGACAAAGCCTATAAGAAGTCTCACCTTGGCAATGAATGGAAGAAGCCATTTGCCGGGTCTTCTCATGCGAAAGGCATTGTTTTGGAAAAGATGTAAGACATCAAACGTACTGTTTACTTGAGAAATAATATGTTTAATGTCATGGCTAGCAATATGTTCCACTATCTCGATTGTTCTTTATAATTCCGTTTATTAGTTTGCATTGTGTGATTTTGTCATTATGGATTCTATACAACCAGAAAAGTGACAGTCACTTGGTTTTATTGTTGGTCGACTGATTTTAGTATTGGTAACTTCAGACTGTATTGAGATCTTAAATTTAGTAACCTAATGGATAATTTTATGCAGGTTCTCTCTGATGTAAACTGCTTTTGAATAAGTTTTTAATTTTATTTCGCTATGTTAATGTTTGTTATCTAAATGAGCAATGCTATTCTGATCACAGAGGTATTGAAGCTAAGCAGCCTAACTCTGCCATTAGAAAATGTGCCAGAGTCCAACTCATCAAAAATGGAAAGAAGATTGCTGCCTTTGTACCCAATGATGGTTGCCTCAATTACATCGAGGAAAATGTAAGTCTGATCTTATGCTTCTGCCCCCTTCCAGTATAAGAAAAAATTCGAAAAAGAAAGACCCAATGAGATGAAAAGAGCTTAAAACTGATATCGAAACTGTGATTGCAGGACGAAGTGTTGATTGCTGGATTCGGTCGTAAAGGACATGCCGTCGGAGATATTCCCGGTGTTCGATTCAAGGTCGTGAAGGTCTCTGGTGTTTCTCTACTCGCCCTTTTCAAGGAGAAGAAGGAGAAGCCAAGGTCTTAAATTTGTTTGGCAGAGCTTGTTTGTTATCTTCTTACAGTTTTCTATGGATAATTTTAGAGTATTTTCAGATATTGATTATTGGATGTTTTGGACTATGATGTAGTTATTGCTCTCCTTTTGCACTCTTTTTGGCATTTTTGAATTACAACCGTTTGATCTTACTACCAAACTATAGCTATGTTGAGTTCTTGATTGGTTGGTGTTCATGTTAGCCAGGAATTATATTTGTTCTTTATATGAAAACTTTGATTAATTTATTTTCAAAATCATTTGCAGTTCAGTTTTAGTATATTTTTAGATCTTAACAATTAAATTTGATTATAGAATTAAATAAAATTATAATAAATATGTTTTTATACAATTTTTTTTTTCATTTTTGGAAACTCTTCTAAATTTAGCTGAAAATTAGTTATATTCACACTTGCAAATTTCATTGAATTGACTTTTTTATTTTTTATTTTTTATGAAATTGTTACAATTATTAACTCTTAAACACTTTAAAATGATCCAATTTCTCCTACGTTAGGAATTGTTGCTATCAAATACTCAATTTATAATTGTTACAATTAAATTATGTTTTCTAAATCCACAAAAATTCAAAATTACAATAGTAACCATTAAATAAAAAGGAAATTAATCTTTTATATAAAAAAAATATAAGGATTTAAATTGTTTACCTTTTAGATTATAATTTAATTGAAACAATACGTAGTTTACTAAATTTAATAACTTAATTTCAATGAATTGTGGAAAATTTTATTAGTGCGCCGTGTTTTTTCTTTTTTAATTTCCTAATTTTAAACCGCCACTTCCACCAATTTCAAACAAACAAATACAAATACAAGAAAGATCAGAACCCCCTTTTCCCTCCCCTAAACCTCCCGCCCCTCTCTCTCCGCCTTCGATTTTTCAAATCATTCAATCCTAGTCGGACAGTTCCTCACCTCTTCCGTGTTTCTTCCAGATCTGTCTCATGGACGCCGTATATACTGATCACGATCGCCGTTTTAGCCGTCTCAGCCTCATCGATTTCGCTTCCGAGGACGATTTGCTAATCTCTTCTCCTTCCTGCGACTTCCATGACGCCAATTCTTTAGGTCCGCTCCGGCCGTTCTCATTTCAGTCTCGTTCTGTTTCATTGTGTTGTGAATCTTACTTTTACTGATGATTTTATCCTTTTCCCGCTTGTTCTATGTATTGAGCTGCTCGTGTTCGATTTCTGTTCTGTGGTTTTTTTTTCTTTCTCGGATGTTTCATTTTCTTTTCGTTTTTTCAACTCAATTGGCAGCAGTCGCTTTCACTTTTTTCTTTGGTTTAAAATTAACCCTGTTGTTCATGTGTGGAAGCTTTGTGTTGTTTTTCTAGTTTTGATGTTACATAATGTTTGAGAATCTTGAAGTTTTGATGATTGTATTCGACTTCGGTTTTGTGTAGGCTTTGCAAAGGAGGATGAGGAACAGGACAATTTTGAACGATTAGAGACTGTGGATTCTAACAGAATAGAAGAAAGAACAGATGGCTTCGAACAGAGAGAGGATGAACCTCAATTACTCCCATCTTCGGAACCGGAAAGGATCGAAAGAAATGGGAAATATAACTTGCGTAAGAGTTTAGCATGGGATAGTGCTTTCTTAACTGGTGCAGGTATTCTTTTATTTGCATTTGGAATGTGACATTAGTTTTGTCCCAGTATTCCTCTTACATATATAACTCCTTGTATTTCAGGGTTTTTGGATCCTGAAGAGTTAACTAGCATGATTGCACCAGTGGGCAGGAATGAAAAACGTGTATTACCCATAATTCCAGAAGATGTTCTAAAATCTTCAGATTCCATTTCTACATTGGGAAGTGAAATTATGCCATTGGAAAGCATTGAGGGCAATTTATTCGAAGATGTTAGGGCTTCAATTCAGAAATCTAGTAGAACGATTGGTAAATCTAACTCGAGGATTAAAGTTGAATCCGGGCGACAGGGAGCACTAAAACTGCCTTGTGAGTAACTTTGTACACAAAAAATTTGGTTTAATGAAAAACAATAATTGAGAGTTTTATCTAGATACAATGAGAAGCCCATTCTCAATAACCCAACTTCAGGGAACGGTACTTGAGTTTTGATATGGTTACTGCTCTAAGAACCACTTTTTCTTATTAAAACATGAGCTGCTTGCGTCCTATATCAAATTGCCACCTTCTATGTATTAGATGGAAAGATTCATGCGGACCAGATTACAGAACATAAATATTTTCACTTCTTTATATTTTCCTCGACTATTTTGCGATAGCTAAGAGATTTTTCACCTTCCCTCCCCAATGACAATTCACATCTGTGTTTTGTTTTGTTCGTTTCGACCTTTTCTTTTCTTTTCTTTTTGCTCCATGCTAATCTGCCTGTTGCAACTTTCGAGTAATTATTCATTAATTCTGCAGGAGATATTTCGTTGTGGGTTTAGCAATATTTATGAATCTTTTATAGTATCTTTTGTATCTCATCAGAACTGAATCTGACATTACTCATTATTTTCAGCTCCAGGACGGCTTGATCTTACTTCACAAAATAAGGCAAGTTAAATGAATTTTTCAATCCTTTTGGTGTTTCACAGCTATTTTTTCTTTGTTCCTTATCCTTTCAAAAGTAGTATTTTGATGCTTGGATTTTCATACACAGTTCCTTTGGGCCCTTGCCATTAGATATTTGTCTAGCATTTAACTGAAATTTTGGTTCACTGTTTCTCAGAAATGAAATCACACCTTATATAGGTGGTGTCTAAAACAGTCATCTGAAAATTCACTTAAGAGCTTAGAAATTTTTTATTTTCAGGGACCAAAAAAGATCTTTATTCTCAGCTTAAGGATTAGAATAGAACATTTGAAAGTATATATCAAAATAAAATAAATGTAGAAGTACAAAGGTCAAAATTAGATTTAAACCTTTTTTTACATGTTCGAACTATAATGTTCCAGTGTAACATGTCAGATAAAGGACGGGTCTGCGTCCAGTAAGCAAAGTGATGGGTTGCAAGGACCTGGGAGAACCCCTAAGCAGAATTCTTCACAACCACGCGAGGCACAGGTGAAGTATAAGCCTAAGTTTTTTTACAACTGATCTTATGTAATTCAAGTATCTCTTGGCTTCTGTGGCTATTAAACCAGAGCATGATTAGTTGAATCAACTGAGACACTGGCAATGTTATATCTAGCTGTTTTGACTGTTACATTATTATTCCAGTAGTCTGAAATTTATGTTAAAGTTCACAGTGTTCGTTAGCTTGTAGTGACTGGTGGCCAAGGAAGGCGAGTGTACAACACCTGACTATTCATTAGCATATGGCTGTCTAATAGCGATGTCATTTCTTGATCGTCCATTTTCTACTTATTTGCCCCACATATTTTTGCTGCTTCTGAAAAAGAAAATATTCCTACTTTTGAAGAAACTGAAGGCAATGGGCAAGCTTCCTTCAAACTCAACGTTGACCAAGAGGCCTTCACTTGCCGCCACTGTGAATGATAGTACTACGAGTGGTGCAGGATCTGCAGGTAACTAAAACTTGAATTTAGCTTAGCTAAATTTGTTCTTTGAACTGGGATGCTTGTATCTATCTATCCTGAATTTTCTCATGCGAATTGCAGATGGGCAGGATTCAGTTGGTCTTAGATCTACTACACACAAGCTTTCCCGACTTCCAACTGCCGGCACGAGAGAGCAAAAGACTTCCTCTGAAGTTTCTATAAGTTCATCTAACAAGGTCGGTAAATCTTCCTCCAAAGATGCAAGGATAAAAACAGATTGTAAGGCTTCACCTTCCTCTGGTAGCACCCAGAAAACACAATCGCGAGTTGCACCTAAGGTCAAGACTCGTATTGGGAATTCTCGTCTCCCTTCCTACTCGATATCTCAAAGTAAGCATTCTTCAGGAATATCATCTGCTAGCTCTAAAAGTGAGTGGTCGACAGAGTCGTCATCAAATTCCACTCATGAACTTCAATCTAATAGCTCAAGAGCCAGCCTTCACTCAATTTCGGGCAAAAGAATCTCCGTAGACAGCGATGTATCTCATGATGGAAGTAACCCTGCTGTTGGAACCCATACTCAAACTATTGGCTCAATAAAGCCTTCGGGCCTTCGATTGCCATCACCTAAAATCGGGTACTTTGATGGGGTAAGTTTTGTGTTTTATTGTGTCAAGTTTCTGAGACTACTTTTTTATTCTTTTCAAAACTTGGTTTGGTTTTTGAAAAGATACTTAAAATGTAAATAAACAGAACAAGGAAACTCATAAGTTGAAGCATTATTTGTAGACCCAATATTCAAAAAGCAATAACCAAATGATTATCAAAATGGGAAATACCATTTTATGTTTTTAATTTTTCAAAATTTTAGAATTGAATCTTTTTTTAATACGTTTTCATGACTGCATTTCACAGGGGAAAACTTCTATCATTAACTCTAATGTGTCTGTACCTGGTGGCACGACTAAGATTGGAGCTGGAAATGTCAGCGCAATTGGAGGCCAAAATAAGACCAAGCCTTCAAAGCTTCAACCTGTTACAGTCTTGCCAAAGAGCACAACTCGTGCTGTTAGTCAGCCTAATTTGAATTTGAAATCTCATAAAACCACTGCAACTAAGATGTCCAAAACGAATGAACTCGACCAAGAAGTCAAAGAGCCTGGTTGTGATGGATCAAATACTGATGCATAATTCAGATGTATGCGCGATTTCGATTGCTACGAGGGAGAAGATGAGCCTAGAAAATGAAGCAGGAAGTAATGCAAACGAAACGACATCAGCAAATACTGATGGAGAACTTAACGGATTACAAAATTTCGGGACCTGATGTTGATGGTATACTTCCATTTCAGAGGATCCTTGAATGTGGTAAGAGAATTTGTTCAAGAGGGTTCAATGTAATACCGTGGAAAGAATTCATTATGAAGCCAACTGTATGCTCTTGCAGAAGGTAAGTCGGAATCATGAATATGGTTTGGTATCAACTCCCCAAAAGAGTATAACTGTTCTAAAGTATTCTCGGCATGTGAATATTATCTGATAATGTTCAAAGGAAAGCTTCCCACCTTCTGAAAACTCAAAAGTATTCTCCTCTCACTGCTCATTTAACTTTGGTAACTGTTGTTCATTTAACTTCGGTAACTGTTGTTCATTTAACTTCGGTGACTGTTGTTGACAAAGAACTTATCATCTCTAACTGAGGATCTCTCTGTCTCAGCTGCGGCCTCAGATATGGATCAAGTAAGACCCATCTTGCCATCTAAGCAGACCGTTCTTAGAACAAACAGTTCTAATGTTGTGGCTTGTCCAGGTGTGTCCGTCTGGTCCAGTGTTTCCTGTTGATGTCCCAATTCTGGGGTTTCTGGTGGAATGTGAAGTTCTGTTGTGCTGCATTTGAGCATCCGATGTAATTACCAATTACATGGAGACGTTAAGTGATCTGAGTTGGTATTGTGTGTGTCGTCAACTGCTTGTGGGTTTTTGGAACAAGATTGGCCAGTGATTCGAGTTGGGATCATTGTATTCGTCATGCTTGTGAGCTTTGTGAACAAGATTGACCAGTGATTTGAGTTGGATATCATCGGGTTCTTAATGCTTCTGATAGCTTTGGGAACCAGAGTGACCAGTAATTTGAGTTGGTATCGTCATGTTTGTCGTGCTTGTGAGCTTGGGGAATAACAGTTTTGAAAGATTGAAGAGGTGTTTGGTTACGTTAGTTTCACACCATGCGGAACCCAAAAATGGTTGGTATGTTTGAACCTTGATAGTTCATGAATAGTACTGTAGATGTTCCTCTTTTAACCATTTTGCTGAACTAAACATCATTTCTTATTTCACAGAATGGTGTAATTGAATGATAATTTTGTAGTAGTTAATAAAAAATAAATATTACCATGCTTAGAATTGATGTATGAACGATTTTCAAATCGAACAAACCTGATTAGCCAGTAAAACTGAGTTGATTTGGGAACATATTAATTATAACACATTACCTTAAACAACAATCCATGATTCAGAAATACAACATTTAAGGTCCTACAATTAAAACCAAGAAAGCAGTACATGAGGGCATAATTTCACTCCAATATGCCCTTTTACATAATGAAAAAACTACCATGTACAGACTAATCCAAGTATCTCTACTAACAATACTCTGAAAAAAGTATCAGCCATGTCCTATTTGTTTGCAAGTTAAACTCTACCCAGTCAAATTATCGATATGAATTGAACAACAGACATCAGTTAAAAGTGAAAGTAGCACAGACCTGTTTAAAACCTGAATATTTAGGCAGCCAAGAAGCCCTTTGTTCTTAAGATTTCACTTCTTTTCTGCCTCTCCTTGTCAGACGTGATGAAACTTTGCTCGGAGCCAAGAACTTGAGTCGGTAACTAACATGGGTCGTTCCAAAAATGCTGTGTTTCCCAGAACTACTGAAAGCTGTTTCGGCATCCGAAGTTCGCTTGAAAATTACTTTGGCTTGTTTACTTTTCTTTATTACTTCCGTCTTTGACTCGTACAGAGGTCCATATTTTCTAAATATGTCGTTCAAACTTGTTTCAGAAGGAACAGAATCGAGGTCGGTAAAGGTTAAAATCAGAGCAGTGGGAGAGGGATCCTCCACACAAGTCTCTGAATCTGGTTCAACAAGTTCAGTAGGGATAACCGTTTCACTCAGAGTCTGAATGTGGCCTTCTTCAGTTTCGTTTTGATTCTCAAAAGTTACTTCATCTTCAGCAATGCCCTGGATTAACCTATCAGTCCAATAAGCGTCCTTAATAAATTCAGAATCAGATGTTTCTATAGGGGCTGAAACTTTTCTTCTTTTCCTTGTCTTTGTCGACTTATTTCCAGTCTTCACACCGGAAACTAGTTCCGAACTCCCCTGCGCTTCTGGACGTGTTAGGATCATGCAAACGAAAATTATAAATTCTGAGAAAAAAGTATCCAAAAAGCCAAATCCTTTAATGGGTTTATACCAGCCAAAAAAAGAACTGCTATAGAACCCTTTAATAGGATTATCTGAAAACAAGAGCTGTTGAGTGTGGTACCTTACGCTTTCTGCCTCGTCTCGTCTTGGAAACAGATTTTTGAGATAATCCATCATCGTGCTTCAGTATTGGATTCAACTCATTCAATTTGTAAGCAACCTTTTGTATGCGATCTCCAACTCTAAAACTTTGATTAGTCTTCCCAGATTCAACATTTGTTATTGGACTGTTGATAGCAGTGTTGTTACAACTTACTACCTCATCTTTTGTACTTGAAACAGGAAAATTCAATTCATTGTCAGCATCCTCTTTAGATCCCAGTTCTTTCTTCCCGCTACGACGGGGCTTCTTGGACGTCGAATTAGAACCCTTTTTACTAGAGTCTTTTAAATCCTCAGATTTACGCTTGCACTTTCCACCTGAAATGTCTTGAATTTTCAAACTTCCTTTCCTGCTTTTGGCCACTTCATCATCTTTAATGTCTATAGCTATATCCACCATCGAGTCACTTTGGTCATCGTTTTTCACATCCAAAATGTGATCAGTATCGTTGAACGCTGCACTGTGTTTATCGTACTTGGACAGTTCAGAGTAGACCTTCCACCGACTCAATGCCATCAACTGGGCCTCGGCACGAACCACCTCTAACTTGTCAGCTTCAGCATAAGGTGACATGGCTACTTCCTTAACAAAGTTAATAAGCTTCATTGGATCAAAAGATGATGCAGTAAGAGAGATGTCCCCGCCAACTCTTTTACTCAACTTCTTGCGGATTCCTCCGTTAGCGAGCGTTTGAGTTTGAAGTTTGGAATATAATTCTTCTGAAAGACAAGGGCAGGCAAGGCTAAACTCAACTCGCCTGGAGAACTCTTCCAGAGCACAATCAATTGCGTCGTGAAAACTTCCTGAATTGCTTTGCTTCTGCAACTCCGAAAAATATTCTGAAAACGGTTTTATCATCACTGCTTCTTTCCATGCAAATGTATGATCCCCAAAAAATGCTACCAGATATTTGCCTGTTTTGAAATATTTCATGGCTTTTTTTGATGAAGCTGCTGGATCACATATCTGCCCAGGCCACCAGGGATGGCTCGGTACTCTGCTCCATACTAGATCGTGTACATTGAACTTCACAACTGTGTCTTCACTGTCGTCATCAGACATGTCATCTTCATCCATGCTAACATGTGGGTCCACTTCAACAACAATGTCAAACAACTTTGACTCATCTATATCTGTTGAAGGCCCTGTCTTCGGAATATGACTGCCAGTGGCTGGATTTTCAATTGTCTGTCCACCATCAACTTTCCCACTCTGATTTTCTGAGTAGTTCGATGTTGGCACGGTTCTATCCTCAGTGGCTAATTCAGGTGGTACTTCATTGCTCTGTATCATATTTTCAGCCTTTTGATCAAGCTTGTTAATTGACTGTATTCTATCCTCAGCACTTTTAGGAGAACCAGATGCCGAATTATCATGAAGAGAACCCGAACCATCGACATCCTTGTGGTGAAATGGACCCTCAGGATTCGTGTTTACGCGTTCATCAACACAACCCTTATGGTCAAGTACACTGTGGGATTCATCTTGCATTGTGCTAACCCCTTCTTCCTGGCTTTCAACATTATACTCAATACCAACAGAAATTATTGATTCATCCCCAGCCGTAGCATTGTCGTAGGCTCCACCTTCTGTAGACTCATTCAATGATGCAAGTCCCTCTCCAACCTGGCTTTTTGCTTCACAACAAGCTAAAGCGTCACTTGGTGAAGCATTTAGTGTCCCATCAGCATTCACCACCTCGTTGTCGTCAACAATTATCTCATCCCTACACAAAGCTTCAACTTTCTCTGAGATATGTTTCCTCTTGCTAGATTCCATTTCCAACTCTGATAAATCATTTATTGCCATAGACGATGCTTCACCCTTCCTTGCGGGAGGGTCCATTTCCGTTCCCTTGACATCATCTATAGATTTTCCCTGCAAAAATTCAACATCGACTGCTTCATTTCCCACATTTCCGTCGGTTTCGCCTTTATCCAACCCACAAAGCCCTTCTCCAAAGCTGCTGGTGTCTTGATCTTGAACGGCCTCATCCTCTCCCGTCTCTCCCGACCGATTTTCACCATTGCTTTGCTCGTTTACGGAAACGGTAACAGGATGCGAAAGATTAATCCCATGAGCTTCAAATTCTCGAGCTCCCAGATCAACTTCAGAGTTGAGGTCGATTTGTTCACCGTTCCCCGACATCAAAACAGACTCAAAACCAAAAATTCTAAACCCTAATAATGACAAAACGTTGTTAAATTCAAATCATACAGTTGAGTCAAAACAATGAAATGGTACCTCGAATTTCTTCCCCCTTTCTCCCTTCTAGTTATAACAGCTTGATTTTCTTCGACTCGCAGATCGTCTTCCTTACTGAAGCTGGACCATAGAGTGAAATAAAGAAGCCTTCTCCATGGAACTGGTGTGCGAACTCGAACATCGAACCTTGAATCTGGTCTGCTTCGAGGTACAAAGGTAATCCGACTGGGCTCAATACTTGGAAAACGAGAAACTCTGCCTTTTTTGGGCCTAATATGGACCAACCAATTGGCACATAAACCTACTGGGCCTGATACACGTCCAAGTGAAGCGGGGCCTTTTTTGGGCCTAATATGGACCATCATGAGCCTTGTCATTTTATCATATGAAACTGGGCCTTTTATGGGCCCAAAATGACCATCATGGGCTATAGCATGGATAAGCCCACACTTTCCCGTCAATTTTAGACCCAATTCGGAATTTCCCATGCGAGTCAGAAGGCTTAACTCTAAAAAATAAACCAACATGGGCCAAACACATGGCCCACGTAAAACTGGGGCTTTGGTGTGAGCCTAACATGGTCAAGTAGTTAAACCAACATGGGCCGTAAAACTGGGCCTTTTGCTTTAACATGGACTAATATGGGCCTAACATTGGGCCCGTAAACTGGTCCATTTACTTTGGACACTAGCCCATGAAGTGGGTCGGCGGTCCGGTTCAGCCCGCCTTAGACTAAACCGCTGCGTCTCTCTCCCGCCAAAATTGGAAGAACGCTTTGTTGTGATGGAAAATGTCCGGAGATCATACCGAGCGAAGATAGGCATGGAGCAAGCGTTTTCAGACTTCGACATAGCTGGAGACATCTTTGATTTGTACTTCCCTCATACTGTCTTCACTGTCGAAAATGAATGGCTTAAGCTCATTTCTCAGCTTATTTTCTTCTTTTCTTCTCCGGCAGGTCGGCATCTTGCTTCACAGGTAACTTCATCTCTCATTCAGATTGATTTTTCCTTTTTTTTTGGTTTTACATGGGATTAATTGAAGAAATTATGTGGCGCGGGGTTTCGATTGTTCGTGATATGTTCTTGCATCAAGAATTGGATGTAGGTAGTTCCTGCAAGGTCACTTCCAGCTTGCGATTTGTGGTTGATTTTGCAACATCGGTTTCCTATTGAATCTCAAGCCTGTATCATGGACAATGGATATCTCATTAGGTTTTTCTTATACACTATAATATTGACTAGAAATGCCTCGTTTCTAGGTTGGATGTAATGCGAAAACATTTAAATCTGTTGGTTTGCAAAAGTAGCCGACGAAGTCCTCTCCATGTCCTTTTCACTTGTTCCTAGAATCGCGTGAAGGAGGGAGCTGACCTTCAATTATTTTGACAGGCTATTGATGATGGTCGTGGCATCTTTATTTTGTCAATTGACTTTCAACAGTTCCGAAAGATTTGCGATGAACATGAATTATACCTAATGTTAGAGAAAGATCCTAAAGTTGCTCTCAAATGTATGAGTGCTGCACTTCACCAGGTAAAAACGAATTATTACAAGAATTTCGTTCTCCATTTGTCTGCTATAAAATACTTTCAGGGTTTCAGCTTAGAATGGTTAGCTGGCCTTTAAAGCAGGTAATGAGGACCAAATGGGCGCACAATTTAGAAGTTGTCGCAAAAATTCTAGTCCGGTTGCACAACTATTCAGAATCCATGCTTGCTTTGAAGAACTTGAAGGCAGCATATATTGGTACTTGGTAGCTTCTTACATATTTATTAATGAGTCTGAAGTTTTACCGTTAAGTTCTTAAGGAACTGATGTAGGCTATATTACTTTGGAACAACGCAGACAAGCTTGTATCAGTGCGTGGTACTGTTGTTAAAGTTAGCACTGTTAAGCCTTTGGTGGTGCAAATGAGCTTTGATTGTGCTAAATGTAAAAGCAATATCACACGCATCTTTCCTGATGGTAAGTTTTCACCTCCATCGTTTTGTGAGCTGGATGGGTGCAAAAGCAAAACATTTATTCCCATTCGATCTACAGCTGAAGCAATTGACTTCCAGAAAATACGGTAACACTTCTAAAAGCTGAAAGTAATCTCAATTTACAGTTAGTTTTACTGCCTACTCATTGGCAAAATCTATTCATTAGACGTTTTTCTTATGTGCATTACATGAGGTACATAATTTTTCCTACTACGGTGAATATTAGATATGATTTTTTAATCTTTCCAGGTTGCAAGAACTCACTAAATCTGATGACCATGAAGAAGGAAGGGTGCCTCGAACTGTAGAATGTGAACTGACTGAAGATCTTGTTGACGCATGCATCCCTGGAGATGTTGTCACTGTTACTGGAATCATAAAAGTAATTAACAATTACATGGATATTGGAGGAGGTACCAGATTTCTTCCAAGCTGTGTAGTTAACTTCTAATGTTTCCCATGAGTGGTAATTTGGTCCATAGGTCGTGTTTAAACATCTCTTGCTTGCAGGTACACACATCAACATCTTAATCATTAGGTATTTCATTATATAAGCAGAAAATAAATTTTGATTAGTATTTTTGTTTCGTTCAACAGTTGAATGCTGTTGGGTAATGCTTGTTCTTAATCGATTTTTCTTCTCTAACAGGGAGACCTTATTACTGCTATACATTAGCAATTCCATAATTTTGTCGTCATAAAACAATTTCAATGATTTACATCACACATCAACACCAGAGCAAAAATGAAATAAAATAATTAAAAAAACCACTCACTAACAAGTAGTTTGATGCATCAATTACGAGGCTAAAAATAGTACTTATTTACTGCGTTATAAAACAGGTGCTTATGTTGTGGATTTCTGATACCCATTCTTTACTAGTACATATCAAAGCAACTTTTCATGTATTTTCAGGAAAATCGAAGGGCAAAAGTCAAGGATTGTACTATTTGTATCTGGAGGCTGTTTCAATAAAAAATTCCAAGTCACAATCTTCACCTGAGGAGATGCAAGATTCTAACTCTAATGCAAGAGCAACGGAGTTGCTTGACTTATTCTCATTCTCCCCAAGAGATTTGGAATTTATTGTGAAATTCTCTGGGGAATATGGTTCCGATGTTTTCCGTCAAATACTTCAATCTATATGTCCATCCATCTATGGACATGAACTTGTTAAAGGTAACATTTTATACAAATTCAGATTTGCTGGTTCCCTCCATTTTCTTTGGCTGACATATTTTGTGGGTTGACTTGAAATCTGAAAAGCTGGAATAACACTAGCTCTATTCGGTGGTGTTCGAAAGCATTCAAAAGACCAGAATAAAGTTCCTGTTAGAGGGGATATTCATGTCATAGTTGTTGGTATACTTCTATGTCCATATCCTTTGCATCTCACTTCTAGAAAAGAGTGCTTTGTGAATCAATGAACAGACTTTATGGATAACTTTTCGGTGTTAATTTCGTAGGTGATCCTGGACTTGGCAAAAGTCAAATACTGCAAGCAGCTGCAGCTATTTCTCCACGTGGAATTTATGTTTGTGGTAATGCAACAACCAAGGCGGGCCTAACTGTAGCTGTTGTGAGGGATTCCATGACAAATGACTATGCTTTTGAGGCTGGTATGTCTTTTGTTGAACATTACGACGTCATTTCCCATGTTTTAAAATTGAGGATTTTCATATTGTAATGGTAGTGATTTGGTTTTTATCATGGAAACAAAATATTGTGGGCACTTGATGATTTTATTCCTTGACTGCCAAGTATTAAATTAATCCTTACATTGGGAATTGGGAAATTCTTATTATACGCTAGTTTTGACATAGCTCAAATCTTTCAAGGGCTTATTGCATACATAGATTTCACAAGTAGATGACAGTGAACTTTTAATGGTTTACAATAACAGAGTTCCGCTGATTGAAGAGAATTCTACTTGAATGCTCATCTTATGCTTTAAAACTCCTCTTAGCCGATACTTTTCAGTTTCAGAAAGTAGTAATAAAGAAAATCCTGGCTACCTTCTATCCCACCGTTTTTTCCGATCTTCTTGATTATATGACTAGAGAGGACCTGATATTCCTACTAAATTTCCATAGAAAACATCGCAATCTTAAGGAAACATGACAAATGTTTCATGAATTTGGAATCTTATTATAATAGCCAACAAAGGGGGGAAAAAAGTAACTTGGTTAAAATACCATTTTGGTCAGGTTCACTGGGCTTCATTTTATTTTGGTCGTTATACTTGTTCAAATCTAGTCAAAGCTTAAAAAGAGCTCCTATTGTTAATCCTAAGTTAGTTTTTCTCCTCAAAATTGATTCATAATAATAATAACTTTCATGCAAGAAAAAACAGGGTGAACATATTTTCAAAATTTGTAGAGGAAAGATTAAACAAACTAATTATTTTTCAAAAAAGCTAACAATAAAACTAACTAAAGGGTTGAATTTGAAGTTTTATTAAAAGTAAAGTGACTAAATTACATGAAATAAATGTTAGAGATTGTTGGAGTCCCATGTTGGGTAATTAAAGGGAAATTAAAGGGAAATTAAAGGGAAGATCATGAATATATAAGTGAGGGTCACTATCTCCATTGATACGAGGCTTTTTGGGGAAACCAAAAGTAAAATCATGAGAGCTATTGCTCAAAGTAAACATTATCATATCATCATGGAGGTCCGGGAACATCTTCATGAATTCGAGATGCTTGGAACTTAAGCATCCAAGTTTTTGTGATTTCACACCAGGCTAACCTGCCATCTCTTCTTGAACTTCTGTGTTCATAATCTGGGTCTAATGGTGCTTAAATGCTTCTTAGTTGCAAGCGCATCATAGTAAATATATTGTTTTCTCCTCTAGCAATGTAGTCTACTTTTTCCACAGGGGCTATGGTACTTGCAGATGGTGGATTATGCTGTATAGATGAGTTTGATAAAATGTCTGCAGAACATCAGGTTTTTGAGCCAATGCCTAAATTCCTATTGAACTCTTACTTTTCATTGTCCATGGCTAGATTTTCTTACATTTGATTATTGCAGGCCCTATTGGAAGCCATGGAACAACAATGTGTATCGATTGCAAAAGCTGGCTTGGTAGCAAGTCTATCAGCACGTACTTCTGTTTTAGCTGCAGCTAACCCTGTTGGCGGTCATTACAAGTAAATTCCGTTCAGAAATGTATTTGTTTCAGTCATTTGC